TTCGGTTAATTTTTAGGTCGAAACATGTCATCCCGTTTAGGGTCACACGCACACGCACACGCACACACACACACACTATTAACCATTACGTCGGCGTATTATTAAAGGTTATGATTTTTAAAAAAAATTTAAATTTTACACGAATAAAAAAAAATTTTTCAAATTCATTTCGCTCAATCAAAACGATCGTAATTATTATTATTATTATCATTATCATTATTATTATCATCATTATTTCAGGGATTGCAATTAGATATATATTGTTTGTAATTAAGCCACACATTCCACTTGTTTTCTTTCCATTTTTTTTTCTTTTCCCTCCCATTTGAGACTAAAAAAAATTTTAAATAACAGTACAGAGCAAATTTTTTTTTCGTTTAATTATTATCATCATTATTATTCATTTTTTTTTTTTTTTTACCTGAATTCTGTAACGGATTCTTGTTGTTGTTTAAAATATCAAAAAGAATTTGAAAGTTATCGTATTATATTTTTGTTTCTTGTCGCTAATCACTCTTATCAATTCTTATAGTGATAAAGATAAAGGAAAAGGCTTAAATTTTAAAAGGCAAACGGAAATGTTTGTTTTTTTATTTTCCTTATTGTTTTAACGGTTATTTTAATTAATAGGGGGCTTATAAATTATTTAAATTTTTTTTTTTTTAAATATAATATACCATGATGGGGGTTGAATTGAGTTAAGAAGGAAAAAGCTGTCAGTCTTAATGTAATTCATCATCTGTTTAATATTCCTCTCAAACAGGCTTTGTAATAATAATAATAATAATAATGCGGGGTGTGTAGTGCGCAACGATGGCGTCGATTGTTCTGTTTGTTTGTCCGATTTAAATTTTTTTTAAAACAAACTTTTTGTGATAGTTGGTGATTATTTAAATAGGAATATAGTTCACGGGTGTAAAAAATAAATAATGGCATTTAAAACGATTTCCGTAGATGTCATGGTCACAAATTGTGCTAAACATTAGCCTAATTTCATTAACACTCCCCGATACATATATACGTATGGCGTGGAAAAAGATAAACACACACACGCACACGCACGCACCTACACGGATACATACGTGTTCGTACAACTATGATTACATTGTTTCGATGGGTAATAATAATAATAATAATAATAATAATAATAAAGAGAAAACCGTTATCGAGTTCCGGTAAGGAAGTATTAAAAAAATAAAAAAAATTAATGAAATCCTACGAACCCTTGGGAAAATATCTAAGAAGGATTTTTAGGGTAATAATAATAATAATAAATATCGAATTACAAATAAAAAAGTGGGAAAGGGAAATTTTTATTCGTGAAATTGGGAGTGTCACGTCATCCTCTCCTCTCCTCCCCTTCCTCCTCCTTCCTTCCCCGAATAAAATTTGATCGTTTATATATGATATGTATGGCAAAATCAAGGTGTTTACATTTACAGGTGTTTAAATGAAATATCACGTGATTGTTTTCATTCATCATTGACGAAATTTTTTTACCCTTAAACAAACGTGGAACCAGTGGGGGAGATTATTTTAAGTTCCGGTATTATTATTATTATTATTATTTTAACA